TTCAAATGTGGCAAGCTGTGTGGTGTATAAGTTAGTGCTCGTCTTTCTAATGCCTACCTGCAAAACACCTGCTTGATCAGAGGTGTTTCGAAGTGATACACAGAGGTCGATCTTCACGGATACACGAAACCCCGAGGCGTGATTCACGTCAGGAGGATTGTTAGAAGTTTCTTCTACGAATTAGTGGAAAGTTAGGCCCACGGACGCGGGTGGTACTTGCGTTTACTCCAAACGCCGAGCGACCTCTGACTATTAACCTTGGCTTCACTCGACATGAAACCGCTGAATATACGGAGCCACCACCGAGGTGCTTTAAATGCTAACGTTTTGGTCACATGGCGAAATTCTGCAAAGGAGAGCTGCGATGCAAACGCTGTGGAGGTCCACATGACTTCAAAACTTGCAAGGCGGACTTTAAATGCACTAACTGCAATAGTGACCATACCGCCAGTCATAGTGAGTGCCCATTCCGAGTGAGTGCGCTGCATAGACGAAAAGCCTTTTTACGGGGCCTAAACCAACTGAGCCGACTACTGCCCGGTCAGTTGCTCAATCACCTGAGTATTTTTCTCGATTGGTGAAAGAAAGAATATCAACTAGTCCAAAGAATTTACGTGAGGTGCAATCAGAAGAATGCTTCCTGGAAACACTGGGTAATGCGAGTCAAACAAAACAAGGGGCCATGCCAACCGAGTCTACTCAGAACATTTCTACACAAGCTACCTATGCCACAGTACAGAGACAAGAATTGGAGCAGAAGACAAAGGGACATGAAAAAAATATCCATGACACCGCGGAGATTGTTTGTGTTTTGTTTGCCGCTCTACATTCTCACCTAGCAACAATGCCACTAGGTACAGCGAAGACCAAGCTGCAGGCTGTGCTGGGTCTAGAATCAGTGCTGGTTGGTTGTTTCGGGCACAACCAGCAGTAGGATGCCGAAGGCCAAGCCTCATTGCACGTTAAATCACCAAAAAGTGCCTTTCATAATGCAGTGGAATTGTGCCGGTATTGTTTCTCGCATGAATGAACTACACCTGTCTTTGAGAGAATATCAAATTCCGATCTTGGCTCTGTCGAAGGCCGGATCACCGAGACAAAGATCAATTACTGGATACGTCACTCACAAACACCCCACCATAATGACTTTCCCAAATGGAAACGCCGCTGTGTATATACGAAGAGAGATACCACACGTAGCACTCAATGTGGCGGACTTGTGCACAGATGTTATAGAAGTTTGTGCAATCATGGCACAGATAGGAAACCGCAAAGTTAGCATTGCATCGGTGTATGCGTCTCCTCACAAGAAAATTTCCATCGAAAAGTTTTTGGAAGACCTGTGTCATCGTTGCCCAGCTCCGCGCATCACATGTCATGGGGTGACAAGAGTTCGGATGCACATGGACGTTGCCTGGGAAAGGCTATTGATAAGCTAGACTTAACGCATTGCAAATGATGGCAATGTAAAATTTTTTAGGCCCCCAGCTTGTACAGTATTATTGACTTGATGCTGCATTCAAGTGGCGTTCAACTCACCTGTTGCACAGCTTCAGGCAGAATGGGCAGTGATCATTTCCCTATATTGATCAATGTTGCTGGCTACCATTTGACGCTAGCTAAATCCTGCAAAGTAACTTATTGGGATCGCTAATGAGAGCATCTAGATCACCGATCAGGGGATATGTTTAGGATATGCTGGCGAAGCAAAGTGGCTGCAACCACTATACTCAAGCTGCCTGCACATTTTCCAGCCCCAGACTTAAAGCTCCGTAATTTGTGTGCGGCCAGAAGAAGGGCAGAGAAAAGGCTTATGTGAAGAGATGGTGAACCTGCTAGCAAAACTCAGTTCAACAGACTTAATGCAACAATACGGAAATACAGCAACAAACTTCAGGAGGAAACAATGGGCAACGTTTTGTGAGAGTTTAAGTGCATTTACTCCACTGTCAAGGATATGGCGAGTAGTAAATAGGGTTGGAATCTCGCTCCGAGCCTTTGAGACCGTTTATTGCCCTCGCGTTATTCAAGGATACATCAATACTGTCTCTAGCCGATGAATTTGCTGACGTGTATGTAATTGGAAGAGAAAGTAAACCACCTTACCCACTTCCACCTCATTCTACATCTGCCATCGAGGCACCTTTCATGCTGCGGGAACTTACGTCAGCCGTAAGTTGTCTCCGTCTACGCTGTGCTCCTGGACCTGATGAAATTACAAACTAAATGATCTTAAATCTGCCTGAAGAAGTGAAGAGCTAGACTTCTGATGCATTTCAACTATGTTTGGGAGTCGGAAAACATTCTCAAGCCTAGAAAAGGGCCTGGGTCGTACCAGTGCTGAAGCCAGGTAAAGACAGAACAGATCTGGCATCATACAAACTAGTATCACTAACTTTGTGCGTAACGAAGATGATGGAGAAGCTGGCCCGTGTTCGGCTGACATGGTGGACAGAGAATCACAAGGCCCTTCCAGCATGTATGACTGGGTTTCGGCAACGGTTGAGTGCACAGGACATCATCTTGGACTTCGTGAGTCACATAGAACACCAACGAGCATACGGCAACTCTGGCAATATTCTAGGACGTTTCAAAAGCATACGACTACGTGTTCCAAGGTGCGATAATTTGTGGTTTTGCATCTATGGGAATAATGGGGCACCTTTTACGCTTTGTTCGGGAGTTTTTTAGTGATCGCTCGATGCAGGTGATGTTAGGGACAGTGCTCAGTAGCTCAAGGAAAGTCACCAGAGGAGTGCCACAGGGCAGTGTCCTGTCTCCAAGGTTGTTCAATGTGGCTATGGCTGGTTTACCTAATGCTTTCAAGAATGTGAGCAAGGCAGTACAAATATCAATTTATGCCGATGACATATGCATCTGGCTGTCTGGATATCAGCATAAGCGATTGGAAATGATTGGCCAAAGAGTTCTACTCTCCGCACAAACCTATCTTGAATCTATTGGACAAACAATATCAGCTGAAAAGTCTCAATTCATGCTATTCCCAGGTATGCGAAAAGGAGAAACAAGGATGAAAATATTACTTCCTGATGCATCAATTAAACAAGTTAAGCACATGAGATTCCTTGGAGTCACACTAGACACCAGGATGAATTGGTGACAGGCAGTAGACAAGACAATGTCAGCACTGTCACCCCGTGTAAACGTTCTTCGAAGGATGGCAGGAACAAGCTGGGGGAGCCACCCAACATCAATGATAAAGTTACACGAGGCAGTAATTGTCAATCGTGTGCTTTTCCAATTGCCTCTGATCTCTCCGAGTGAGTCACAGTACGAATGGCTGGAAAAACTTTATCGTAAAGGCCTCAGAGTTGCTTTGGGAGTGCCAAAGTTTGCAGCGAGCATAAAGGTGCTTCATGAAGCTCATGTTCCACCATTACGTCTTCACGCCTCTCAACGACAGCTGACATAGCTTTGCTGACTTGGCGAATCGAGCCAAGGACGAACACTACTCAGTCGCCTTCAGCGACGCACGGAATCTCGAGCTTTCGTGGCCCTCAACACCCTTCGCCATCTTATCATCAATTTCCCCAAACAAAGACAACTTCGACAAGACCCACTTTGGTCACATGAGGATGTCGACTGTCAGGTGACGATTCCACGGATACACAGCAAGCGCTCGACACCCACAGCAGAAGTATGTTCTTTGGTACTTGAATATATTGAAGAAAAGTACGCCGATCATTTGAAAGTTTTCACCGATGTATCAGCCGACATAGTGCGTGGACCATGTGCTGCAGCGTTTGTGATCCCGGATCTAAAGGCGTCCTGGGCAGCGCAACTCGAGTGCGCTGTTTCATCGACAGCATGTGAAAGGGTGGCAATTCAGGCAGCCCTGAAGAAACTGAAGCTTTGTAGGCAGCAAGAAGTCGTGCTGTTTTCGGACAGTAAGCCCGCTTTGCAGCGGCTAAAACATGGATTGCTTTTGGATCGATGCACTCAAAGATCGCTGAGAATCATTAAAGACCTGCATGGCATTCGGTATAAACATTAGGTTTCAATGGATTCCATCACATGTGGGTATAGCGGGAAATGAGGCGGCCGACAGACTTGCCCGGAGTGCTCTGGAGCTTACACCAATGAAGAAAGCTCCCAAAGATAATCAGCGTATCTTACGAGAGGCTGTAAATAAGCATTTTCACTCGTTATGGCTGACGCCTCACCAGCCATGTGTGACACAAGGGCTATCAAGGGAAGAGGCCTGCTTGCTTCATCGCATCCGAACGGGATCAGCGCTTACACCAGCATGGCTCCACAAGATCAGACTCTCCGCGACGCCCTTGTGCTCGAAGTGAAAGGAAAACGGTGATATAGAACACTAACTGCTTAAATGCCGTGAGCTTAAGAAGAAAAGCCAAGGTTTATTTGAGGAACTGCAACAGTTAGGCTCACCATGTGACAGCGTGACTGATATTGTGTTTCCGCGTGGTTCCTCGATCTTCAGGAACCAGGTGTCGCGACTTCTCTTGAAATTTTCGATTGCTGCAGACCTCGCATGTGACTAGTGATTAGTGACAATTGTGTTTGGGGTATAGCGCAGCGAGATAGCGTACCGGCACAATAGTGCACGTGGAATAGTAAAAAGGCCGTCGTCTTATGCATGGTTACGTCGCACTATGCACGATTTTTATTTTAAAAGCCTGCTCGTGCTTAGTTAAAAAACAAACAAAGGACATTGGCTACAATTAGCAAAGAGGAAACCGGGCGGGGCAATTGCCTGCAAATTATGCAAGGCTAGATCCGCCAGCTATACATCCTTAACCTTAACACGGTGTATTCACTGAATACGTGCGTACTTTTAAACTGCGACATTATTCATCCTGCGCAAACCCACAAGCAAACCCGGGTGGAAATGTCAAAGCCGAAAAGACAGGGCAGATAGCGTACTCCCTTTTAAACTGGGCATGCTTCCCTGGAATGCCGCGTTTCCATTCACACTTGCGTGAGGCGATGTCACTGCGAGGCGCACACTCACATACCTGTACAGCCCAACGACGCCACCGGTTCTGAGTGTTTTCCGGAAGGACTGGTACATGCTGCAGCTTTCGAAGCCCGCTTGAGCCTGCATTTTCGTTTTGATCGTGTCGAACGGATGACCGACGCAGACGTTGGTGACCCCATACAGGACGCCGACTGCATCGAAACACAACACGCCGTTTACTGCGGTGGTCACGGACGAACCTTCAGTTGGCGGTCGTATGTCTCCAAGAATAACAGAAAGCCAAACTGGTCGTCGAGTATTCATTCCAAAAGTCAGGTCGTGCAAACACGGACACGAGAAAGAAGCACGTCGACGTCTTGACTTCTCGTGGCCGTGTTTGCACGCCATGTGTTCTAGAATTACGTGTCCTACACTGTACATACGCACACAGTTGAAATCACGGCCTTCTCGACGGAGCCTAATACGTTTGATGCCACGCAAACGCACCGGCCACGGAGCAACGAATTCATTAGGCAAGCTCCCCTACATTTTAAAACGAGTCTGGAAAAACTCACCGCCAAGGCCGATGGCTCCTTCCTTGAACCAGTGAGTTCTCTCTTCGTTGTGTGTCATCGCGAAAATGTCATGCAAATAAGCGCAGGATCTGACTTAGCAGCGGGAGATTCGTAAACGAGAATCGTGCACTTGTAGCTTGATATCGACGGACAGCCCCCTCGTCCACTGCCACCGGACACTCCTCGCTGCACGCAGTTTCGCCGACGGCCAAAAGCGCGCCACTTCCGTTGAACAGCAGTCGACGGAAGTGGCTTGCTCTTGGCCAATCGCAGAACCGCTGCAAATCGCTGGACTCTTACCACCTCCTTCTTCGGTGACAGTCACGGAGGAAGGAAAGGTAAGGAGAGGCCCTCACGTGCAGTCGACTGATGTTGACTTTGATGCTGACATCTTATTATGAAGTTTCTCACAAGAAAATTTCATGCCAATTACCTTCGCTCTACATCTATTATAGTCCAGGCTTATGTTATTTCATAGCCTCCTATATACTTTTGTGCCCGCTGGATCCCCGTACTTCCCATTCTATTGCAACCTCGCGTCTAGTTCGAGCCGAGGCGACAGGAGGCGCCGGCAGCCCTGGGAAATGCTAGGCTAGGCTAGAAGGGGACGAAGCTATTGAATATATAAGAACAAGGGTGATAGAAAAATTTCAACACAGAAGTGCTTTATGCACCACAATAGACAAGGATGAATCAAGTGGCGCAATGGCTCCATTTTCACAATAAGAGTGGGAAAGGGCTGAGAAAAGGGTTCCTATATAGTAGTACATCAACAGGCCCAGATGGCATTCCAATTATGCTGATAAAGGCATTAGGTCCGAAGTCTAAGCAGGCTTTGAGAGATGCAGTAAGCAAAATAATAATCGATGGAGAAGTTCCCGATGGATGGAAACTTAGCAGGATGAGCATGATCTATAAAGGCAAGGGGGACAAAGCTGACATAAACAACTACCGTCCTATAACAGTAACATCAGTGGTCTACAGGCTGGCGATGCAGATTATGAAGGAAAGACTGCAGGCATGGAATAGAGGATGAGGGGGTGCTGGGGGAACTGCAGAATGGGTTTCGAAAACACAGGAGGTTGGAAGACAGTCTGTTCTCACTGACGCAGTGCATCGAAATGTCTGTGCACGCGCTGCGTCGTCTGTGCACGCGCTGCGTCGTGTTCACGATAAACTGATGCGCTAAACTCATACTTGTCCCCAAATATATTAAGTCCCCAGTACCCTAGAGCTTCATAGGTGAATCTACAATACTTGTAGCTGCCTCGCTGCTTTAAAGAGATATAAGAAAGCGACATGACAGCACCACTTGAAGGCTCCTTACTTTAGCGGCATTACGTTGTGAAGCACAAAGCTGCGGGTTGGTTTCGCAGCCTCAAAGTCGCATTTTGACGAATATGAAATGCAAATACGCTGCGTACGTGTGCGTTAAAACATGACCTTTTTCTCGCCGGCAGGTTTCCTGCCAGCGCGCAATCTTGACGGCCACAGTGAAGAGTCGCATCTGATCAAAATTAATCCATAGTTATATATTACGGCATGCCTCACATTTTCATGGCGGTTTTGCAGTATAACCCGAAACTCAAGTAACAACACTTGTTACTTTGTTCTGGACATCAACTTTTATTTTGTTGGTACTCTGAAGATGCACATGGAAATGCCTAACAACAATTAAAGAAAAATAGCACAGTCAGTCAAGCAGCTGCAAAAACACAATTCACAGTTTTAGAACTTTTCTCGACAAGGGCTTGTGGTGAAGTGCCTTCCTCACATCGTGTTTGTCAGTCATGCCCAGGGCGTATTTGGTGAACACAGGCTTGAACACAGGCACAAATACAACGGAAGCCGTTGTACTTGCGCCTTTAAATCGCGCTCCTTCTGTCTAAATTTCTGACGTTCTAAAACAGAAATACTACTGCGAACATCTACCTGGGTGGCTTCGTGCTTTGAGGTAGGTTCAGAAGGAGAATCCACCTCAACTTGTAGTGGTACGGTGAAGCACGGAACTTCTGTGAGGCCCGGAGAGCTAAATCTTGAGGTAAGTCCTTCCGCAGGCACGGTGTCTTTATCGGCTCCAACAAAAAGGCCTGTTGTAGTCCCTGTCTCGAGAGACTGCGCAGCGGCGTTGTCAGTAGCAAGCGCTCGTTTCCTCGCAGCCGCATCGCTCCGCGGTTTCTTCGCCTTCATGTACTCCGGGTAGTCGTAGAACACGCTGGGAGTTGCACTCCTCTTGAGTTTTTAAGTTTTGCATCCTTCTTTGTAGTCCGTCAGGAGAAAATGTCGGCTCCACACAACAGAGTAGCGTGATGTCGTGTTCGGCGTCCAGTCTTTTCCTAGCGATGGCTTTCAACCAGGCTGCCCTCGCTTCACTCACTAGGAATTTCATGAACGAAATGCCCGGTACCTTACGTTTCGCATCAGATTTGCACTTCGGAACACAGCAGTAGGCCATGGCATCGCGAGAACACCCACAAGTTCTTCAATCGCGGGAACACAACGCGCACATCGACTGCGGCGATCCAAAGCGAACTGCCTTCACTTCACGCTTTCCAGGGCTGGTGGCGCCACCTCTTGGGGAACGGCCGGTGAGAGAGCGCGGACGGAGACTCTGCCTCCTTCGAGCGGGCACAGAAAGTATATAGGAGGCTATGGTTATTATGAGCTAGGTAAAGTGGTGGTAAATTGCTAGGTAGGTAAAGTAGGTTAGTAGTAAAGCTAGGTAAGTAAGGTAAAGTAAAGGTAAGCTAGGTAAATGTGTAAATGATTCGTGTGTAATGCGTTAAACCTACAAAAATTTTACTAAGCAAGTGTTTAACGAGTCAATTAGCCTAGGTTTGTTATTTAAATATATATTACAAGTATTTTAAATACAGGGGGCGCCATGGGCGCTGTAGTTGCGAAAGGTAAACACTGCGACATGGTAGCCGCCTACGATGTGTTAGGTGGTGAAAACTCCGGTGAAATCGTGGCCATGGCCTAGGCCACTCCCAAGGAGGACTGGACTGTCGTCGCTGCTTCATGTGATTGCTGGATGCTTAGTTGAACCTGGTGGTTGGAGCTAGCGCGGCCGTTCACCGCGCCGCAGCTTCATCTGAGGGTGTGTGCCATAAAGTTTCTCAGTATGATGTGCGGATTACAGTTGTTGGACGTACTGCATTTTCTAGATTGCAATGCCAAGCGTGGTGTTGTCAAAGGTGAAAGTGTTCTTGCTGCCGAATTTCGCTTGTTGTGAAGGATAAGGTCGACGATGAAATAAATGCTTTCGCACAGATCACGTGTGACTGACCGGACGCACATGCATGAAACCCCAATGCGTCGGCGAAGTGTTCATACGGTGGATGGAAACAACTTTATTGTAATGTTCTTACGAAGCCTGTGATTTACGAAGGCCAGAGCTACTGCATTGCCGTCTGTTTTGTCAAGTGCGAACACGTACGGACGTTCTCATCCGTTGCTACGCGAATGCTCCCGTGCTGTCACAGGCCGCGCGTGTTATTGAGCAAGGCAGACAAGCTGTTTTGTAGTTAGATGGGCTAACACCATCGGCACTTGCCCTTGGGCATTGTTTATCAAGTGCTGTTCGCCTAGAACATTGCGGTGACACGTCAGTATTTTTAAGGAAAGCGGCCTGCTGGTTACCTCGTCAGGTGATGGTACACTGAGCGACATAAAAAAAGTTGCCCGAGACTGCGTTGCAGTGCACCTTTCTGTCATCCAAACTTTGATAAACCGTGGAGATCAACATTCGTGACACCTGTGCCGAAGAAACCAATGCAGCCAGCTGCATTCGAGTTTTTTGTGTCTTTTTGCGTCTCGCCGATTAAGAGCACTAATTCGCAAAACACTTAATCATAACAAATATAGTCAATCCTGCAAGAGTCATCGAAGATCTAATAATAAAGGGCCTGTGGATAGGACCACTACCAGCAGCAATTCGGGCTGATGAGGAGGCGCAAATGTTAAAACAATACATGCGTGAAGAAAAAAAAAGAGAGAAAGTATCGATAACTGCAACTGGGACTTGAACCACCGACCTCACCAGTTGATGTGTTGCCCTCAACCAACTACGCCACAGCTGTTTTTTTTTTCTTTCTTTATTGCCTGTTTACATACAACATTCACAAACATATATACATCAAACAAAGTAGAAACATGAAACAAAAAAGAGGTAAAAAGCATCATACTTAACAGGCTTTTTAAAATTCCTTCATCTGTAGAAGGCTAATTGATGAAGCCATTCGGGCACCTCTTGTTGAACCTATTGTGGTTCCACGAACGAACAGACAGATTGAAAGAAATATTGCCTGACCGGACGTGCATTAACATCAGCATGGCGCACTGCCATTCTAGATTGCCATATACCATGCAGGCCCAGTAACATAACTAGGTCGAAAGGTATTCCTTCTTCATTTGATACTGGTAGAAATCTGATGCCATAGGCATCGAGAGGCAGATCCTTTTTCAAAGTCCTTTGGAGAACATCCCAGAAAAAGACTGCATCCCAGCAGTCCAGGAAAACATGTTCAATTGTTTCCGGCTTTTTGCAGAGAAGGCAATCAACACCCCAAGGAACGAATAAGCCTTTTTCTTGCATCCATGTTTTCACGGGCAAGGTCCCAGTGTGCAACTTAAAGAAAAAGGATTTCGCTCCAGGTGTTACCTCCATTTTTTTAACACGGCTTAAGACATTTTGGCCTGGGCCTACACGGTATAATGCTCTATATAGGGGAACAGGAAGAACTGTTTCTACTAAATCTTTGTATAACTTTTTACGCGAAACCGTACTGAGGTATTCCAATGAAAAACGCGTTTTTAAAAAGAGACATGAATCAACAACTTCTTTTAAGAAACCTCTAATACTTGCCTTCATGTGAACAGATGCTACCACAAATTCTGGCAACCGTCTTCCAAGCCTAAGCTGTATAACAGTACGTATGAATGGGTCTCGATTATTTCGGAAAAACATAAACCGATTAACTAACTGACGAAGGTACAAATGACACAGACCAAGTCCTCCAGAGCGAACCCGTCTGAATAAGTTAGTTCTACTTGTTCGCTCCCAAGAAGAACCCCACAAGAAAACAGCAAATATTCGATGAAGCTTCTGTAGATTCACACGTGAACAATGCATTACCTGAAGGACATACCAGAGCTTACTGACTAAAAATACATTACAAAATGTCGCTCTCGCGAAAATTGATAGCTGGAAACCATTGAGTTGTTCAGCTTTTTCTCGTAGCTCCACGGCCTGACGTCGCCAGTACGGTTCACTGTCACAATAATATTCTAATGGCACACCTAAATATCGTACCGGAGTAGTAGTCCATGAAATACCAGCCACAAATTGTGGAGTCACAGGCCATTCGCCGTGCCAGTAACCCAGGCACTTGCTCCAGTTTACCAAACTACCACTTGCCTTACAATAAAGGTTCACAATTTTTATGGTTTCAGCGATACTATCATAATCTTTACAAAACACAGCTATATCATCTGCGTATGCCAGTACCCGTACTTCAGCTTCTTGTAGTTTGTACCCCACTATGTTATTGCTTTTCATGACTTTTTGGCAAAATGACTCTATATAAATTGAAAATAGGAGGGAAGACAAAGGGCAGCCTTGTCGTACAGAACGTCTGACATTAATTCGTTTCCCAAAAACTTTGTTGATGATTAGCCGAGTTTTACTTCCAGTATATGCCATTCGAACTGTATCTCGAATTACTTTGCCAACATTGACATAGTCTAACAAAAGAAAAAGAATTTCGTGCGGTACTCGATCAAATGCTTTTTCTAAATCTATCTGGATCATCGCGATGTGATCATTTGTGGCATCGCAGCACTCCAATACACTTCGTGCCTTGTGAATGTTTGTGAATAATGTGCGCCTTTTGATCCCACATGTCTGGTGGTCGCCTACAATGTTATTAATCACTGTCTGCAGTCTCCTTGCTAGCACTTTCATTAAAATCTTGTAGTCGATATTTGAGAGACTGATTGGACTGTATGATTTCACTTCACGTAATTTAACTGCGTCCTCAGTTTTTGGTAATAAAATAGTATGAGATAGCAGAAAAGAAGGTGGCAAAGTCTTTATGTCTAAGGCTTCGTTAAAAACCGCTGCCAGGATCGGTGCTAGTTTGTGTTTGAATTCCTTATAAAATGCGGCTGTTAAGCCATCAGGTCCTGGGGACTTTCCCAAATGGAGGGCAATGATTGCTTTTGTCACTTCCGGTTCAGAAATAAGACATTCTAGGCTGTCTTTCCTGCAGTCCTCAACCTTTGGCATTAATTTTAAAAATTCATTCTTGAATTCATCTACATTTACTTTACATTTATCAAATAAAATGGTGTAGTACTCGTTGAAAGCATCCTCTATATATCTTTGTTCACTTGTAACGTTACCCATGTATTCAATCTGATGTATAACATTCCGCTGAGCGTTTCGTTTTTCGAGACCAAGCATTCTTTTGGTCGGTTTCTCTCCTACGGTCATTTTCTCTGCCCTTGCCCTTATTTGTGCGCCACGATACTTCTCCGCATCAATTTGTTCCAATTTGGACTTTACTGACCTTATATAATTTGTGAATAAGCCTGGCGTTTTGCTGTCCTCTGCTAGCAGTTCTTTGAGATTCAAACGTAGGGTTCTTTCTTCTTCACTCTTTCCATGTTTTATTACACATGAGCGTTCTATAGCTATCAACTTTATATTCTGTTTAAATTGTTCCCACTTCACTCCGTATTTTTGGTCTCCACTATCTATGTTTACCAACGCCTCTCGAACACTGTCCATAAATTTTTCATCTTCCAAGAGATTAGAATTCAGTTTCCACGTGTCCCAGTTAAATACTGGTCTACGTCTATTCCTTTTACCTATTACAAATGATACTAAGCAATGATCACTAAATGAAATAGGGAGGACATTGTACTCACTGATAATCGGAATTAAATTCAGTGATACGTAGGCCCTATCTAGGCGCGCATGACTGGAGCCTTGGAAATGCGTATACAGTGTTGGTCCTTTACCAATACACTCTGCAACATCCTCAAGGTCTAAGTCAGAAATTAGATTCGTTAACACGACTGTGCTTGAGTCATTGAAATTGGATGTACTTGTTTTATCATCGGCACTGATCACACAATTAAAATCTCCCATAAGGATGACTATGCGATCGCATTGACAATAAGTACGAATTTCGTCGAATGTTGCACACCGTTCATCAACTTTAAGAGGTGCATATAAACAAATCACTCGCCAATTAAGAGAAAAGAAGGTCAAATCACATACAACAAACCTTCCGGATGAGTCAGACGTGACGTTTTGAACACTGGCACCTAAACTATTCCGCACAAAGATCACACACCCTGCCGACCTACCAACTGCATGACTGACGCTGGCGGTGTAGCGTCCGGTGAAACGTTGCAGTAGGCTCTCGGTGGCGTCCACGCTCTCCACTTTCGTTTCCTGAACTGCAATAATGTCCAGGTCTTGGTCCATGGCTAGTCCTGTAGAGCTGAGTCTGTTTCTTCCTGGAAGCCAGTCCTCGTACGTTGAGCGTCGCTGCTTTCACGAACCCGCTCAGCGACGTGATCGGTGAGCGGGCCCAAGCTGAGAGCCCTGCACGTTCACTTATTGGGCTCTCGTCGTCCAGGGCGGATCCATGCTGTTCACCTTTAGTTTGAGCGGCCATCGTCGCGTTTGAGCGACGACGACCGTTGTCGGGCAGCGTTTCGTTTCTTGCCTCCACTGACCACCTTCCACTGCACTTCCGACTTTACTTGCGTTTCGTCTACTTGAGCACCGTCGTCTGAATCGCGACGGCGTTTTGCAGACGCCGATTCTAATTCCATGTTTAAGGTATGCAGATCACTAGGCAAATCCTCATTTTCGTGTGTTTTGTTCGCCAAAGAGTGCCGTGAAGCCGAACTTAGAGGAGTCGAAGCAGCGTTGGCCTGGGACGCCGGCGTTTCAGGGCACGTTGCTTGCAGCTGCGACGCGGCGTGCATCGCAGGCGCAGGACGCGTCTCTTCGCTAGTCGTTGGGGCCGCTTGACTTCCCATCTTCCGTTCGGCGTTCGTGTCCGGGGCTGAAGAAACTTGCTTGCTTTTCCTTAGCACCGGCGTGTCGTCCGATGTCGTCTGCTTCTGTGGTGTCGCAGGCAAAGACGCTTGTTCAGATTCCTCCTCATCCATGAGAAGTTCACTCTGTTGAGTCTCTGGTCGTCGCCCTGCAGCTCGTGCGTATGAACGGTTACACTCATCCTGCTCATGACCGAAAGAGTGGCATTCGCTGCACCTTGGGACCTTACAATCGCGTCGCATATGCCCCGTGCTTCGGCACCGCAAGCACAACGGCGGTCTTCCCGGCACCACGACCAGTGCCGTACTGCTGCCAATACGCACCTGATGGGGCAGTTGGTCCACAGAAACGCCATCTCGTAGTTGCATGCGTACTACACGAGTGGTCGATTCAACTCCTTCAAAATCCTCGACTCTCCATCGGTCATCGGTCACCTCCTTGACGCCGCCGTATTCATAGAAGGCACGTCGAATAGCGTCTTTTGTAACATCGAACGCTAGCCAGTGCAATTTCATTTTAACTTCTTGCCGCGTCGGGTCAATGACGAGACATACCCGGTCTTTAACTTTGATAACGCCTGCGTCTGTCAGCGCTTTCTTTGCTTCCACGGTCTTCATGTTCAATAGCCACACGTGCGACATCTGATATGCTCCGATGCCACTTACTTGCTGTATGACGCCTAAATCTTTCAGAGATTTCCTGAAGTCGTCGATGCGGTACGGTCGGCCGCTGACGTCGCAGTGTAGAGCTACTGCTCGACGCATCGCTTCACCTGATGGCAACGAAGGCAGAATAATCCTGTAGTCCTTTGGAACGAGGGGAGACGCTGTACCGCGGCCGGCGTCGGCCGCTGTCGCTGCTCGGGATGAGCTTTCCATCCTGCGTCTGCACCAACCGGCGTCCAGAAGCAGAATGAACTACGCCACAGCTGCCCATCACTTTGAGAGGGCAAACAAGCCGGTTAAGTATAGTTTTCACGCTAAACCTAACTAACATTTTTGTTCACTTTTTCGTTTGGACGTAATTTTAACTGCTTTTATCGTTATGTCCAGACGTACCGCTAGACACTCCCGACTATTCAAACAAAGCGCCTAGCCGAAAAACGCATGACGTCACTTTCGTGCGGCACAGCAGCTGTTTCCGTGTGGGGGTGGCTTGTGCGCCGCGCGGCGCAGCAGTCTCTGCCTTAAAATACTTGTAATATGTATTTAAACAACAAACCTAGGCTAATTGACTCGTTAAACACTTGCTTAGTGAAATGTTTGTAGGTTTAACGCATTACACACGAATAATTTACACGTTTAACTAGCTTTAGGTAATAATTTTGAAAGTGACGTCACTTTTGTGCAGCGCTGGAGCCACTTTTGTGTGGGCTGCTTGCTGCGCGGCGCAAAAGACGCTGCCTTTTCGAAAACCTTTTTTTTTTTTACACTGCTTTGTCGTCATAGAGTTTCAACATTATTGTATGAAACTCTATGATTGTCGTACGTTGTCTTGGCTCTCAAAATTACAGAACTTATTTCTACAAAACTGAAGAATGCATTAGAAGCGTTTTCAATACCCTCTAGCGGTTGTATAGTATGACATCATTTTTCTATACTAAGCTTCCGGTTTCGGCAGCCGTTCATGTTTTGATAATTTTTTTTTTGTTTGGGCTGCCGCTGCGCTGCCGAAAAGCGGCGTGTTCTATCGGGCCCGCGCTGCTTCTGTTAGAGTGTACTTACTTCTGTTAATAACGACATACTTGCTCTTGTGGCGTCGCTGGTCAGTTTGTCATAATTAAATGCCTTACGATTTGCAAAAAGAGGAAGATGTTAAAGAATTCCTCGAAAACTTGGGCATCGAGTACCGTTTCGAGTGCTTCAAGGAGAAAAAGCCGGACGGTGAGTGGATGTCGGCGCGTGTTGCTTCGTTCATTTCTTCTGAAGAAACAGAAAAAGGGACACTGAGATCTGCTTGAGACAGTCTTCCGCTGCGAAGCTCGGACCTTGCCACATTTTCTGATGAGTGCCGTAATCTCGCACGTGCGGCATGCGGGGAAGACTATTGCTTTCCGAAACATGTAACTGCACGGGTTACAGAGTTTGTAAGAGACAGACAATTTTATTGCTTCTTGGATGGATACTCTTCTGAAAGATATAAGCAGACACGAGGTGTACCTCGGGGCTCAGTGTTATCACCTGTTTTATTCAACTTATTGCTAAGTTCCATCCCAACTCATCGGGATATTCGAAGTGTGGCAGCTTCAGCTAGTTGGTGTGGCATGACGATAGTTAGAGCGCGAGAACAAAACGACGACACAGCGACAAGAAAGACATGAAAGACACAATTGCGTGTATGCAGATGATATTGCCTTCTTTGCAACAAATACTGATCTGCACTCATTGTATCAGGCATTACAGAATTACATGAACATGCTGGAAGCATAGCTTGAAAATGTCAATATATCATTGAACGTCAAAGAAAAAAGTGCGCTGCTTCCGTTCTTTTTTAAGGACCGTGTCAACATTTCAGTGATGTGTCGTAACGAGCACATTCCCCAGGTCGATTTTCTCCCTGAAATACCTAGGCATCATATATATTAGCACGTTAAATTGAAAAAACCAGATAAACGATGTTGGCTGCAAAGCGACACGTGCCTTGAGGTGGTTACGAAAATTAGGAAACAGAACAACAGGAATACGAAGAAATGCATTGATAATGATTTACAAAATGTGTGTGTGTGAGCCTATCATGAAATTCGGGTGCGTATTATTTTCTGGCAGCGTGGCATATAAAATGAGACAGTTAATATTATTAGAAAGAGAAGCTTTGCACTTGTCTTGGACTCCCCAAGTATGTTGCAAATAATGTATTGTACGTGGAAGCGCGTCTTCTACCTTTGTTAACTCGGTTTAAAGTATTTACACTTCAAACTTTCTTTAAAATATACAATTTGGCTCTGAGACATGTGCCTTACATTTTTATGCAAGAACCAAGTGCATTATTTAGAAAACAATGGTCAAGACTACACTCTGCTCAGATTAGATTCGTTCAAGCACTGCTTAAACCTTCTAAATGTAAATATCAATTAGGCTACCTCAACAAGTATACTCAATTCAAAACTTAGAATTTAGAAACATAGACTTTCATGATGTTTCCCTTTTAATGCAAAACAAATGCACCTTAGATATTTAAATAATCAGTTACAAGATTACTGTACTCATCTGTCCATAAATAACGTTATTGTGACGAATGCATTCATAATAAACAAAAAGGCTGGAGTAGGAATCTTCTGTCCTTCTCTCGACTTGTCTCTTTCAGTTTGATTACCAGACTATACTCCTATATTCATGGCTGAATTATTTGCTATAGTTCTAGCACTTCATAAACTTCCCGCAAGCGAATCAGAAGCAGTCATAATTATTTATTCTCTCTCGGTATGTACTGCACTCTTTGCAGCAAAAAATTTAGCTTTAATGAGAATGATCAGTACTTTATTACCAGCAAACTTGAGAAAATGCCACTTGGTATGGGTACCTGGCCACTGTGGGATTTATGTAAACGAGATCGCAGACTCGTTAGCCAAAGCATTATAAGCAGACCACTCTTCTTTATTTTACGTTATTTCGCTTACGTAACAGCACTCAGATATAGAAATGCTTGTTTGCACAAGGAAATAGACAAATTATTATTGGATAACGTGTGAGACTTCGTGCATCTAAAATTTTGCTTGAATAAACAGAGGCACATATCTAGGCAGTTAAAAATTACAATCACCAGATTACGCTGCAGAATTCTCCTCCTGAATTATTACTTACATAAAGCTGGACTAACAGCATCTTCATTATGTCTCTTTTGCAAGGAAAGTAGAAACAATAGATCATTTCTTTTTATACTGTCACCGATATTCTTATCAAAGGAAAGGATACCTTGTCAACCCAATTGAGAAGCTAGGTTTAGAAGTAAATGTGGCAGTTATTTTATCCTTTGGAGGGATTACATTAGGTTATAGCCACAGGGAGGTTTGCTCTACTGTGTGTGCATACATGATGCCAGATAGAGAGAGAGAAAGGAACATTTATTTAGAAAACAGTATTCTGAGCGAGGCCCGGTGTCACCCTAAGGTGGGAGGGTTCCCTAGTCCAGGAACCCTCTGGCTTTGACTGCCCTCTCGGCCTTGGCGTCAAGTTCCAGGAACCCTCTGGCTTCGACTGCCCTCTCGGCCTTGGCGTCAAGTTGTCGCTGGTGTTCCAGGTCCTCGAGGACGAGCTTGGCCTCCCACGTTTCCATTAGGTGGTCGTCGTTTATTCTTGGGGCCTGGTCTCGCTCCACTTGCACGTCGTGGTTTGCATGGCACTGGCATTGCAGGAGCAAGTGTGCCAGGGTGTCTGGTACGCTGGAGAGTAGGCACATGTAGCCATGTGTCGTTGGGTAGAGGCGGTGCAATAATATTCCATGTATGTAAGTATTGCTTTGTAGGCATCTGAAAATCAGGCTCTCTTTTTTGGTTAGTCTTGGATGGGGTGGAGGGTACACCCTGTCGCTCCAGTTTGTAGTGTTGAAGTAGCGACGAGTAGGAAACAAAAAAATTACTTTGTTAGTCTATTGATGCTATTGGTTTTTTTTTTTGCTCCAAGAATAGCTGATTGACTGACCGCTAGATTCTGTAGCATTTTCATACATTTACGCTTTGTTTTGTGTTTTACTGAAACTCCATTGGATGCTTTGAAATACATAACCAACTATCCCAAATATCCTGCCGCCCAGTTCTCGGCCGATCCCCCTCTGTGGGCGGGTGCCACCAATGCAAGAGGAACATCATCATGTGCATGCACATGTGGAGTGTTGGGAGATGTGCACCATTTATGCAGAGCTTGTGCGAGTTTGTGCTTACTACCATCAATATGCCTAGGAACGACTCGAGGTGGAAATCTGTTTCGCCAGCGCATGTCCTTGCTTGGTCGCGGCTCGCAGTGCCAAGCCTCATTTAAAAAAGGATTTGCACGAAAAAAATTTATATATTAAGGACTTTCCATGTTGTATTGTGTGCCCTTTGTGTTGCCTCCCCTTCAGTGGTGTAAATAATGGGGGGATAACACCTCATGTCAGTGACCCCCCTCGAGAGTTCCTTTCCAATGTGCCATTTGAATTTCTGGATAGTCGAGGACAACGCACTTCCCGCAATACCAACTCTGAAATCTGAAATACTTTCATTGAACAGAAACAAAGTACTTGTAGCCAGCACGTACATTGGGTTAGCTCAAAAAGTGCCACCGTATCTATTGTATACTTTAACCCGAATGGTGCAGCTGAAAAATTGCTTGTGCCTGCCAATGAATTGCCTTTAGAAGCTAACTTTGCCATGCGATTCCACTTTTATTTATTTATTTATTTATTTATTTATACATACCACAGCCCTATACAGGGCTATTGCAGGAATGGGACGTTATACAATACTAGATAGAGTAAGAAACGCAAGGAAATTATAGAAATTGCAAAGTGGGAACACTTTTAACAAATCAATGTTGAATTGAGACCTAAAGAATAATTAAAATAAAGAGTTATGCTGGACACTAATGGATACTCAGCATCTTTTGTTCTGACCATGTGCTGATAATAATGATAAAATAACTTCAATATATATAATAATAATTATTTTTATCATTTTAGTAACAATAATAATGAATATTAATTTATGGGAATGCATATTTTTAATTTTTATAAGATTGGACATAAACCACATGCATAAAAATAAAATGGCCACCATTGCAATATATGTTACTGTCATGATAGAGGCGTGCAAAAAACAGATAAGTGGTTGTTGCGGGGAGGCGATGAAGAGGAACCGGAAGTGTGTGCGAGCGGCTTTAGTATCGTGCGACAGACGCGCCACACAGAGAACACAGGACACGGCGCTGAGGCGCCGGCCAACACGAGGTACGCAGCAGCCAGTAGCCAAGCAGGAGCTCTTTTTATGTACATGAGCATGTTATTATATACATATGCACAACACCCTCTAGGGGCCAGCCAACCGGTTCCAATATCGGAACCGATACCATGACACCACATCATCCCTCCTTCAAATGAAGATGATTTCGGGTCCTCCACGCAAACACAAAATACACAGAAGAGTAAGAAAATGTACAACATAACAGCGTGAAGAATTACACAGCAAACACACGAAAATGCATAAGTAATGCACACTGGAGAAGGAACAACACCATTACATCATTCCCCCCCCCCCCTTTTAAAAGAAGCATGGGGATAACCGTAACACAAGCACACACTAGACGGCACACTATAAAACCAAGGAATCCCCACAAAAGCAAGGCACAGTGCCGAAATATACCGCCCATCATCCCCTTCCCTGAGAGAGTATGTCTGCATAGTCACTGTCCTGTTTGTGTCTACGGCGCCGACGCCTGTACCGGTGCCATTTCCACGACAGGCACTGTCGCCGCTCACAGCAGTCCTGTAGTGCGAAGTAATCAGGCCATGTGCTCCCTTTCCAGTGCACTTCCAGCACAGTAAGGGCAGAACAAGCATGCGCTGAAGCTCAGACGAGACATGGCTTGGTGCCGCCGATGCAGGCGCAGTGCACAGAACAGAAACTGGAACGGCCGGCGCAGACGCAACTGGTGGTAGCACATCTGCAGCACACAGAACAGGGACCGCTTCCCGAATGTCCACTGACACGCTTGGCGGATGCACCTCCGGCAGATCGAAAACAGACACGGCATCCCGGAGGTCATCACAAGCTGAAAGACGCACAGCCGGCGTGGAAGCAGCAGCAGGCAAGACTGGAGCGGCAGGCACAACCGAAGGATGGACAGCTGATGCTCATAAAGTATGGTCAGCATCAGAAGACCCGACTGGAACAGCCATCCTCGCAGTAGAAGTA